ACACATGTCCGGATACACCTTTGGAGGCTCATAACTTTTCTTATGAATGTCCTAGAGAGCTCAGGTCTGTTTTAAAATACTCCTATTAACAGCCCCCTACTAACAGAAGAAGGAGTCAAGTCAATAGCACTTATGGGTCAAAGGTCAACAAAAAGTCAAACAATATACATATGCTTTTAAAACACATTTGGCCAGTGATGGAAACCATCGTAGATGAACGACAAGAGGATACGTTAATTAAAGCTGAAATGTGACAGTCTGACCATATAGGTTTCTATTTTCATGCTTTTGTACTGTTGATGGTTTTCCTTATGTGTTAACTGTAGGAGGTGTGGCTTTCAGCTTCATCCCAAAAGAGGGGGAGTGAGCAACAATCCTTAACATTTTATAACCTCCTACTTAATGACATCACTTTATGGACTACTGCTTAACATGCCTGAAGATCCAAACTATACTCTGATGACTAATAACACCAAAACTCATTGCTTACCTTTATCCATTCCCATTGGGGGTTTCAGCATCTTTTTCCATACACCATAAAACTGCACCTTCTGGCAGAACTCGTCCCATCTTCCATTCAGTTTATTGATGAAGTTGCAATTATCTTTATCCAAAATGCGATGAAGCTCCTCCATAACCTGTAAAATATTCACTAAGCAAATAATACATGTAAATTCATCACTAAGGAGGAAGATACACTTTGTGTTTGGTTTTAATCTCATTCAATAACAGCTTACATGTCCTTGAAACAAGGATATGCTTCCAGAACCTTGTTGCATCTGTCCTCCTCACGAATAGCATCAGAATCAATAAATGCTCTTCTTGCAGAAAATTCCAAATCTAGGAGATGGGAGACATCCTGGTGGTTTGGATTTTTTCTTTTAAACAAAGTTTGTAGGGTCTGGTAGTGCTTGGCCATGGTTGCTGGACTGTTGGTATCTGGACTGTCAATATCTGCGGGCTTGTTTTCTGTAAGAGACAATACATAAGTAATGTTCCTCACAAAAATAAACTCATTGTTAAAATGACATGTCAGAGGTCTGCCATCAAAAAATATAGGCACTACTTTGATTTAGTTTAATCTAAAACTTTAACCCTGATCTTACCTTCAAAATAAAATTTCATACTTCAGAATTTTAACCATTTAAATCCTAATTTAAGTAATGCAAAAAGATCTAAGCTGTTACGGACATGTAATCACATACAATTGCATGTTGAACGAGCTTAATAACGATCGATAACTATCAGAAAAGAAATTCCTTTAAGTGCAGTAAGGAATTTTATTATTGAAACTCACCTTCTATATCACTTGTTTTACTGCCCAAGTCTTGGCTGCTACTCCCATCTGAGGACTGATCTACAATGATTGTCGAGTTACTTGAATCCATTTCTTCACTTTCACTTGGCTGCTCTAGACGGCGCTCCTTTGTAGAACTGCAAAGTAGTTAGTTTTAGTCAGTTAATCGATTAGTTGTCAACTATAAAACCAAACAACGTCTTTATTTACATATTTTACCAACCTATGGCCTGCATTTGTACAGTGCTTTATCTAGTCCTTGAGGACCTCAAAGTGCTTCACACTACATTTGTAGTTTTGTACATATGTAAAAAGTGTCACAAAATGTTTTCTTTAAATCAAAACCGATACCCCCTCATTCAGATTATGAAAAGTAGGTCCTGGTAAACTGCTATCACAAGTGAGGAAACTTAAGGCAGGTCACACTGTCATGACCACTCATTTTGAACCGCTTCTTTTATGTTTATATACAAAATGTTCAAATATAATTTCAGCTTCTCAAATGATTACATCCCAAGCTTGTTTGTCCTCCATGACAGTTAAATGAAAATCTTTAGGTTGTCTACAAAAAAAAGACATTTGAGGCAAACGTTTCACAATTTTATGAAGTCTTAAGAGATAAAACAGCTGATTGATAAATTTGAAAAGTACAATAACGAATTGTTTTTGATCAAATAAATTATTAATTACAGTCTTACCTCTTTAAATGTCTTCCACCTGGAGTGCTTTTTTGAGGGGATCTCACATTTTGCAGTCTTTTGTTTAGCTGTGTGTACACGGTGACCTGTACAGATTGTTTAATACATTTTTACAACCACTACATAAATGCACAACATGAAAAACTTTGGTGAAAAACTGCATGCATTTCACTTACCCATGTATTCTTGATGCCCTGGTCCCGTAGCATGGGGTAGTACTTTACTATTCTCTTTGCCATTGCTGTGATTTCTGGTTTTGATGGGTATCTATGTGAATCTCCATCCCCTTTTGCCCTCAAGATCGCAATCATGCTAGTCATAGTGTTTCCGATGAGACGGCATCTGAGCTCTTTGGACATTTTGCAGCTGCGTTCTTCACCTTTCTTTGCCAACTCAAAGAATTGTTTGCGGACTTGCTCAAGCTCAGTGTCAGTGTGCAGTACATATTCTGGAGAGGATAACTTCACAACCTTTTCAGGGCTTGTGTACTTTGCAGAAGTTGTCTGTCGCATCGGTGATTCAGCAATGGAGGAGCTACATGAAGATTTTGAGTCCTCTAGGCCAGACCCCTGTAAAATAAAGAACATTAAAATGCAACTTTGTTTTTGCCATCCGACACAGCCCATGATTGCCTCAAAACACCTGTAATTTTGACAACCTGCATTAAAATAGATGTTCCTTGATAACCATCCCATTATTCTGTTTTTTTTTTAATTATTATTATTTTATGTTAGGCTATATCAACTTTAAAATACTTAACAGCCTACAGTGAAAGGAATGGAGATAAAAATAGATTTAATACCTTATCTGGCATTAAAAACAAAAATTAACAGAAAAAATACAAATAGAACACAAAAATGCTGATCCCAATTTCAATAGGTGTTCAGTTAAAGCTCCTTCACTAACCTCCAGTACACCCTGACAGGCATGCCAGACCTCTTTTCTTCGTAAAAAGTTCTCTGGGCCTGGGAATAGATCCTGCAAGTCTTCACGAGACAGGGTACTCATCATTGTCTCGCTGATGTTTGCAGCTAAGGAAGACAAACATAGCAATACACTGTCATCGAACCAGACATGGAGAAAACAAAGGGAAAATTGCTGTAAGTTTAGCAAACTTCAAATCCTTCCTTCAGGAGGAAAGAACCACCATAAATCTGGCCATATGGTAAATGGCAACTACGCTAGGAGAGGGGAGATTATGTGGTGATGTCACATATGCTACGTGCTGATGTAGTCATGCTAATTATGAACTTTTACAAGCTGATAAATCTCAAAGTATGTGACATGACTAGCGTGGTCAAATCACCCTCCATTACTTTTCATTTAAATTAAAATACAACATATCCATCCAGGGCATAAGGCAAAATGGATTAGAAGATAGCTCTTTTATCCCCATTGACTAGATTCTTTTTTCTTTCTTTCTTCCGGGGACCGTGAGCTGACCGGAAAGGGAGGAGACTTAGGCTCCCTATGTAACAAACCTTGTCACAGACCAAAGCACTGATTGCAGATACTAAAACACTAGAAAACTTTATTGGACAGAATTTTTATCAAATTTGAATAATTCATAAAGTGTGTTAGTTATTCTTAATAAGATATATGTCACAATATCTATAGTCTTAGAAGTACCCCTCCCGCAAATTAAATTTTATGTAGAAAATAATACTGAGATGTACCCACATCTGATGAATAATTGTGCCTTCATAGGTAACAAAGATGTTCCTAGAATCAGAGACTCACGTGCAATGTAAGGTCAAAATTGACTTAAAACTGTAGAGCATATTATTCGTAAAATACATTATTACATTTACACACTTCCATGGTTATATAACATGTAAAAAAAATAAGTCAACTGAATCAGTAAAACGTAAAATTGGCATACATTACCTCTTAAAATTGACAATGCGACTTCGTCCAGATCTTCCATTCTGTTAGCTAACTTAGCTTTCCTATTAGCTCTGCTAGCATTAGCTCGCCTCGTGCTGGCTCTGTTTAGCTGAAATATTACACAAAACGAAGACACAGAACGTTTAAAACATTCGAAAGAAGTGTAATATAAAAAAATAATTAGCACCATGATATGCATTTTAACTTACTTTCAATGAAACACGGGTGGAGATAACTCTTGTAGGGGAAAAGAAAGTGGCGCGTTCATCAGCGGCGTCAACTGCGTCATTTGCGTCGTCATTTACGACAGTCTCTCTCTCTGTATTTCCCTTTTCTTTTCTTTGGCCCAAGAAATCTTAAAATAAAGATTGGCTTGTTTTTGATAAAAATCGCCTCCAGGCATTGTAAACCGTTAATTATTCTAGACATATAGAACTTCGTGTAATTTATCATACAGTATGTTTCACAAAATATTTACGACAATTTAGCAGGGGCCTGTAACCATGGTAACGACTTTTTATTACGGCAGCCAACAGAAGTCCGACGCTATCGACTTGAAACGGCAGACGTGCTATCGCTACCTTCCGACATGATTTGGCGTTGCTTAATATGCTGTGTCTTTGCAGCTTTGTCTCTGAGGCAACTTTTGAGTCACATTAATACTATGCATAGCCGCAGCCCTGGCTTCCGCGTTGTGTGTGGAATCGATGACTGTCCGCGTGAGTACAGGGTGTATAACTCCTTCTACTATCACGTAAAGCGTACACATGCGCAACACCTTCTACCAGTGGAAGCGGATGAAGAGGAAGAATCAACTCGCAATGACTTACCTGGAGCAGGTGAAATGACAGCCACAACCGACCAAGTTGGCTCCTGTTCATCAGTAACCGATCAGCCATCAAGCATCGCCAGACAAACAGTAAGTTATTTCTACAGTCAACCGAGCTGCATAAGCTGTAACACATTTAATATCAACTACAGGTCCGGGGGCCACATGCGGCCCACCTGACCTTTCCAACTAATATTACTTAATCAGGAATAGAGAAAATGCATGTTCTACTTTTTTCTATGTTTTCTATATCAAAATAATCAAACTAAACAATGTAAAAGTAAACAATATTTACCAGGTTTGTAGGCAGAGCCATCTAAAGGAATGATGTGGCTTGGGTTAGTAAAGGAAATATGAACATAAACACTGACAAATGCAAAAAATAATCAACAGAAATTTGGAATGAAAATTAATATATATTAAATATTAATATGTTGAGATACAATAATAATTTTAAAATATTTTAGAAGAGCATCTGGCCCTCACAGCATTTGCAGGAATAAAACTGGCCCTTCAACAGATCTAGTTACTGATGTAAAATAATGTTAGCATTCGTTGTGTCTGATCCTAGCACAACCCATAAACGTGTTTGTTTTTGATAGATGCATGTTTTAATTTTATTTTAGCAGTGATGAGACTCATTAGGAAAGGGAAGTTAGTAATTTAATTAACAAATTAAACATTTCTAGCAGCTATCTGATTTGAATGCTTGTGAACGGTGAAAAATGACATTACTTCCTTTTATTGTCCTTTTATGTAGCTTTTTTTTCTCAGTACCTCCTGAGGTTATGTTTGGTATTATTTATCTGACTGCAAAATAAACCAAAATTTTGACATATTTAAAATTGTCAGGAAATGTCAGAAATGGGCCAATAAAAAGGTAAGTAAACATTTTGGGATGATCAGGAAATCTCAATAGTACTTAGGTAATTGGTGTATGTGTGCACTCTGAGTGCTTTGCTAGTCTTAGTAATCTATTCTCGTGTCCTGTTTTGTTAATTTATTTGTACTTTACATACTCAAATTTAAGGCCTTATTGACATAATTCTAACGAGCTTGCCAAGCCAATTACTACAATGCAACAATGTTTATCTCCTGTTTTAATATTTTTGTTGTTGATCTGTTTCAGGGTGAATTTCAAGAGGATGAAGATGGTCACATAAATATTGACATTTCTAAACATGCAACTTCATTTCTTATTCAAGCCAAGGAAACCCAACGACTGACACAGGTAATTCATGCCATTATATATTTCAGTGATTTGTTGTTTTTTAATAGTGAATTAAAAGTATTTAACTGATAAATAACTTTAGCACTTTCCAGACAGCGTGAATAGCATAATACGCACAACAAACTTTCAATTGGCATTTTCCACTTGTGATTTGATTACTCAAAACAATATAATGACGTCGAAACAAGGTGTTAAAGCTGCATAAGACAATATGATTATTATCCAATTAGACTTTTTTGAAGAAATTGTTTATTTTGACCACTGCTTCTCATTTGAATAATTAATTGAAGGGTTTCTATAGAAAAGTGCATCTCAGTGACTATGCTGACTGTGTTTTTATATAAATTCTATAATATAGTATTTTCCTTTTTGCTTTTTCCTCCTACACAGAGAGCTGTTAACCACATCATCAGTGGAGTCCAACAATATCAGGCCGTTTTATTGGAGCACCTAAAACAACAAATGTGTGACATGATTGATAGACATTCTGGGAATCTGGATCAACTAAAAAGTGATGCAATGGGGGTATTTGACCAGTTTGTTTACCCTTTCACTCAAATAGCTTCCACCCATTTGCAGGACAAGGCTATCAAAGAACTGTTTAAACCAGTTGAACCAGAGGTTATTGTTGCAAAACAAACAGTATGTTATGTGAAACGTGGAGAGTCCAGAGCTCTTACCATTAAAGACCATTGTTTTTATTATATACCATTGGTGAAAAGTTTGGAACAGCTTCTATCACATCCACGAATTCTTGCAATGATTGACGAGAGCCCAAAGCCATGCAAGGATGGCTTTTTTCATGATTTCATTGATGGAGACATTTTTAAGTCGCACCCACTGTTTATGAAAATCCCCACAGCATTGCAGTTGATTTTATATACAGATGAAATTGAGCTGTGCAATCCTTTAGGATCCCGGGCAAACAAAAACAAGTTGTTATTGATTTATTACACCTTAGGTAACATCAACCCTAAGTACAGATCAAGGCTCCCTGCTATTCGCCTGCTTGCCATGGTAAAATCAAAAGATCTTTCCCACTGTGGTATTGATAAAATTTTTGAGAGGATTAACCATGAATTTATTGAGCTGTATGATGGTGTCCAAGTTGTCACCGCAAGTGGTGAGAGGACAATTCATGGGGCACTCACGTCTGTGTGTGGAGACACACTAGCTCAACATGAAGTGGCTGGGTTTAAGGAAGGAGTGGGGTTTGCCTACAGTGACTACGTTTACATGCAGCCAATATCCGGGTTATGATCGGGTTAAGGTCGGTTTTCGGGTTTCTGAGTTGATCGGGATAACCCGTTTACAAGCAAGAGGCAACCCTAATTTGCATAACCCGTTTTCAATGCGGACTTTGGGGTAGCGTCAGGACGTATGGACGACGTCAAGACGCAATATGCGTCATTTCCAGGTCATCTTGTTCCGGTATCCGTGAAAACAACAACATGTTTCCCAGTTCGGAAGAGATAGCGAGCGCGTTTGTTTGCGCTTTATTGCTGGTATTGACCCACCGGCAGCTCTTACGACTGTGCGTACTGGCCTTCATTGGAAGGAGAGTACGTGAGGAAGAAACTGCAAATATAGAGAGAGCTGCGCTAAACATATCCAACATATCGACGGTACCCGTTACCACCAGAGCCCCGCGGACACTTTGGATGAAGGTGCGCAGCCAGGACTGGTGGGAACTGGTTGTAATGATGGAGTTCACGGACACGGAATGGCGTGAGAATTTCCGTATGTCACGTCAATCTTTTGCTAAACTTTGTGGTATGATGGAAAGAGTGATGGAGCCCAGTGTAGTAACCATCCGCACACCAGTGCCTACAGAAATGCGCGTTGCCATGGTGCTGTATAAACTAGCAAGCTGTGCAGTGTCGTTTGATAGCAAACCAATTTGGAGTGCACAAGAGCACCGTGAAGAAGATGGTGTACCTATTCTGCCACGGAATGGTCGACTCAAGTCATCAAAACACTGACCCGGGTACCCACTTTGGAGGAGGCATGTGGCATTGCACAAAGATTTGAACGTGCCAACTCCATTCCTCAAATCATAGGTAAAATATTTCCTGCTCTTATGTCTTGTTAATGTCAGTAGTTTTCTGAGAGTAGGCTAAATGTGAACTATACTATGTATGTAGGCTACACTGCTGTGTGCATACTTTTTCGTTTTTTTTTTTTTACTTTTTATCATAGGTTGTGTGGATGGGAGCCACATCCCTTGCTTGCCTCCAAGTGATGGCTACAGAGACTTCATAAACAGGAAGGGATGGCCATCCTATGTCCTCCAGGGAGTCTGTGATGACAAATACTGGTAGGTATTTTGCCATTCCCAGCTTTTGTATTCATGATTATGATTTGTATATAATGTTGACAGACACACATCACTAAGCTATATTAGAACCACTCACAAACATCAATTGAGAGGTTCTCTGTTCAAAAAAAACATCAACAGCTTATATGTACAAATAATTATGTCATTACTGACCTGAAATAATTTTCCTAACTTTTTGCCACTAATCACACCGCTCCCACTACATCTTGATTCACTGTGATACATTTTCCATAGTTTTTGGAGTGTGAGCTGCAAAATGCCTGGTTCAACACATGACGCCAATGCACTCCGCCAGTCCAATCTGTTCAACAATGCACAATCCTTCCCAAAGGTGGGTAATGCATTAAAACTTTTGGTATTTAAATGCAAGTTGCACACCTGCCACATATCTAAGATGCATTATGACATAATTTAGGAAGAATAATATTTCTATCTGTCCCACTTTAGAGAGCAGTGCAGATCGAGGGGCAGGATGTGGATTTCTTCCTGCTGGGAGTTCCTGCGTACCCGCTGATGCCCTGGCTAATGAAGGGCTATCTGCAGTCCCCAAGACTGACACCACAAGAGGAAAGCTTCAACGTCTATTTGAGTTCTGCTAGAACAACTATAGAGATAGCATTTGGTCGACTGAAATCTCGTTTCCGTGTTCTGTTGAAGCACAGTGACTTCCATTTTACTTTCACACCATACGTGGTAGCAACCTGTTGTGCTCTACACAACTTTTGTGAGATGGAGAAGGAGCATGTCAATCCCAGATGGGCATAGGAGGCCACATCAGTAGAAAGGCTGTTTCCACAGCCTGTCACAGGTCAATAGGGCTGATAACAGTGCAGCCTCAGCTATCAGACGGGCCCTGATTACCTTGCTGCACGTGTCCCACTCCGTAAGCGCTTAGTAAGAGCGTGAGTGTGCAGGACGAACGGCTCTGATAGGAAACAAACAACTTTAAACTGTAAGCTCTATACTTTTCAAAACGCTTTATTTTCTAAGTTTTAAAAGATGTTTATCTGCCTTCTCCTTTGTTGCTGTGCACCTCTGAAAAAGAACAGGTATATGCAATGTTCAAATAAAATGTCAACACATACAAGTTTTCTAGTAAGTTTAATAAAACATTTGTTCTTTAATAAAGCACATAACAAAATAACATTGTGGTTTTGCTTTTTAAATGTGAGGTTGATTCAGAAATCATTTGAGACATGAGTGCCTCATCACTGGCATGTCTCAACTGCCTTTGCTGCTCAAACCATTGGTTCTGCATTCTCTCCATGAACTGTTGATGTTGAGTAAGTGAAGCGGCTCCACGGTGCCTGGACCTGCGACTTGACCCACCTAGAGCAGACATGACAGGCCTTAGAAAGTGTTGGGTAAGTTCTCTCTTAGTGTTCGACTATTATCACTTTTTGCATTCTTATGAAACTTGTGGATTCTAGAAGATATTTCTTTACCTTTAGCTGACATGTGTCAGAATGTCACCTGCGCCTTCGTCATAAACAAATATCTTCCTACAATTCTGAGTTCACTAAGAATGTATAAGTGACAATAGTAAAGCATGACCTCACAGACGTGCTCAAACATCATTCTTGTGTCTTATAATGTTTATAAGCACTAAATGAATTTTTTGTATTTTTATTTTATTTTATTTTTTTGCAAATGATTGTTTACTTCTGGTGTGATTTGGTGGTGGCCAAATCATACAACAGAGAAGGAAACTTAGTTTCAGCTTTTCCCTCTTTTTCAGTGTCACTTTAAAATGTAAGAGCAGAATAAAGAAGATTTGATGTCCAAGTTTAAGTTCTTTTCTTGAAACAAGATAATTCATCTTTTCCAAATACCACAGTAGCCAAAAAACTTCATGAAATGTCAAAAAAATCTGGTTTCATGTGAGATATGACTCAAAACAATATGTTTTTAAGACTTTTTCGCTTAACAAGATATCCTAGATGTATTGTCTAAAAATAAGTTCCTTTATCTCAAAGAAATTTAACTCTTTAGGCGATTGTGTCTTATTTTAAGTATGATTAGATATTTTTACTCGAAATTAGACAAATGCACTTGACAAGATTTAGAGTTTTAGCGCATCCTGCAGTTACGCACTCCTACCACCAGATGGTAGTAAGACTCCACAGAGGACTTATTTCATGCAGCAGCAGGTGCGATCTAGCAGTCGGATTTTGAGTCAATTTGGAAGCTGTTTTGGGCATATGGATAAACCTCTGAAAAAGAAAAGGCTGTGCAGGTACAAAAAGGAGTGCGAGGTAAAACAAACATGGATAAAGCCCGTGAGCAGCAACACAACTAAAGCTTTCTGCACTTTATGCCGCCGAGAATTTTCTGTTGGCCATGAAGAAGCCCCAAAATGGAGACTCCATTTTGGGCTTCTTTTGCATAGGGGTGAAGGTTAGCCCAAAATTGAGTCTCCATTTGGGGTTACTTTAGAAGAAGCCCCAAAATGGAGTCTCCATTTCGGGCTTCTTTAGAAGGATCTGGAGCTCTGTCTCTGCGTTTGTCGTCATTCAGATAAGTGGCAGTCTTCGGCTCATCGATGTCTTCTGAAAACATCTGTCCGTTCTTCTTTGTAATAATAACAAAGCTAGACCCACCCCCTACTACCTGTTGTACCCAAATGAAAACCTTAAGTGGTTATGAAATGAAACGCACACACCATGGAAATACATGAAACGGTTTAATTGAACAATGAGAAAAATATGAACAACAACAATAATTAGAACAGTACAAACAAGAAATTTCAAAAACCAGAACACAAAACAGTGCACACTGTCAACATTAGAACAAAAAGAAAAAAGTGCACAAACATAACAATTTTTCACACACACACACACACTACAACCTCTTGAGTTTTACAACTGCTGTCCCCCGCTGGAAGGGGGAGTACCCCACCTTCTTTTTGATGGCTTGGGCCAATTGCTGCCGGGTCTTCACGGGCGTTCTCTTCTGAAGGAAGAACAGAATCCCAATTAGTTCAGTGAACGTGTGTTGTGGTGTGATAGCGATCGCATGATTTCAACTTACTCGGCCAGTCTCCTCTGCCGCTCGAGACCCGGAGGCGGCAGTGGGAGTAGCAGGACCGGGACTGTCAGGAGCCTGTGGTTGAGAGGGTGGAGTTCCCGGAGCAGCCGGCTGGTCTTTTGACGAGTCCCCCTCTCTAAGCGAGAGGCAGACAAACAGCTTCTGGATCTCTCTCGCCCGGGAGAGGTTTTTGTGCAACGCGTAGAACCTCTCCTGGGTGTCCACGTTGTGACACATGAACTTGGAGAGGTTCTCGCGGACCTCCGGGTTGTTCTCCTTAAAATTCTACAGCAAAGAAAATGAGACTTGCATCAGTATGAATACACACGCATGAAATCGATTGTGTTTGGTGTTTGTGATACTCACGTAGGTGGACACGGCCGTCCGAATGTCCATTATGGTCGGGTACCCCTTGAGTCCCATTTCCTTCCATGCTCGACTGAAGTATCGGGCCATGTCCTTTGCCTCCCCACGGCCAAGGGAGGAAAAAAAATTATTGTTCCTGGCAACGGCCCTGTCCCTCAGCCTTAGCCAGGTCCGAAACCACGCAAATTCTTCCGGCTCGAGGATTTGCGCGGTTCCAAATTTGCGGGCAGTCTTGTGCTCGAGGACCTGCAGAAGACCAAGTATGACAGAAACCGGAGGGGTCAGTCAATGGTAAAAACAACCAATTAAATTAAATTTTAAAAAGAACTTTGAAGACAACAGATTAGCCGGCGTTGAAAATATAATTAAAAGATCCCCAACATAAAAAAAACACCCAAAAGAGAAGTAGGTTAGCCCTTAAACAAAAGAAGAAGGTGAAATAAGGTCCAAAAAAAGTGTTGGGTTATCAGAAAACGCCAAAGGTGCTTACATTGATGAGATAACCAGTCTGGTCATCGCCTATGGCCTGCCGGACCTCCTTCACCCTCATCCTGGTGAGCACCCCAGTCCGGTGGCCATAAATTACCGACAGGTAGGCAGCGAGGTAGCCAAAGAACCGGTAGCGGGTCTTGGGGTCCCTCGCTGGCACCTTCTCAATGTCCTCTGAAACGACGGATAAAGATAGAAGAGAACAATGAGATTGGTAGATTCCGTGACACCGCTGAAAAAAGGCTTGCGAGAGGCGGAGAGGCGTGACGGACTCACCGAGCAGAGAGGGGATTTTCTCCCGAGCAAGGAGCTGGCAAAGGCGGAGGTCCTCCTTGGACACCAGCTTGGACACCTTTTTCTGCTTGGTCAGCAGCTGGTGTCCCAGGACGTTCCGCCCTATGTCCCTGCTCAGCTTCCTCAGCTCCAGGATCAGGACTTTCGTTTGCCCACGCTGCAGCCGCGAGTGGCTGGGTGGCATGGCCCTGAAGTACTCCATAAATGACACCGCGTGGCCCAAGTACAGGCTGATGGTAGTCGGCAACAGGCCGAATTTCCGGAGTACAGCAGGGTAGCTGTGTAAAGAACAAATTAAAAGAGTCGTGTGAGGTGGTGCTAAACGGGCGCACAGATAGAAGGCAGTGAGGTTAATTATTTCCAAATGCACTACTTACAACTTCAGCAGGGGGATGTTATAGAGGAACTGCCAGTTCCAGGATGCAGGCGAGTCTGAGCCGAGCAAAAGTTATTTAACAAACACCTTTGCCCGGCTCAGCTTGGTAACGGCATTTTCCTGCATTTTCGTCGTTCCCTCGGGGCAAAAGATGAACGTGAAATAATCCTCCAGGTAGGATTCTGTAAAGATGCAAGACAACGTGATGAGTGCCGCATGAAATGGCTGCACACACCTCCAAATACCCTATGTGTTGCTTCTTACCAACGGAGGTGCCCAAGGGAATTTTCCTCAGCCTGGAGGCCTTAGTTTTCCCCGCGAAGAAGGGGGCCAAGCCTTGGAAGTCCGTCTCCACGCCGGAGAGCTTGGGCGACTTCTCCTAAAATAACAAAACAAAAAACATTAACCGCGTTAACACATAGCTTCATTGGTTCTAAATTTTGTCAGCATTCACTAAACTACTGAACAACCAATCACTCTCACTCACGGTGTCAGAGAGAGCATGGGCATCGGGAGAACAAATTCTGCTCTTCTCTGACTTCTTTGTCTTTTTTACAGCAGGGGCCTCTGTTTCTGTCAGCTCCTGGGTAGAGACAAAAACAATCATGAGAACTGATCAAGTGACAAGCTTTGGCCAAAAAGTCAAAAAGATCATGGCACTGTAATAATTAACAACACTTGAAAAATATCTAGTAAGTGAGTTCTCACCTCACTACCCGATGAATACGTCAGAGTCCTTTTTGTCCCCCGTGTGTCCACCTTAGGGTCCAGCGGGCTCCTCTGGGGCTCCGAGGGCTGGGCCTGGGGCTCCGGAGGCTGGGCCTGGGGCTCCGGGGGATGGGCCTGGGGCTCCGGGAGCTGGGCCTGGGGCTCCGAGGGCTGGGCCTGGGGCTCCGGGGGCTGGGCCTGGGGCTCCGGGAGCTGGGCCTGGGGCTCCGAGGGCTGGGCCTGGGGCTCCGGGGGCTGGGCCTGGGGCTACTCGCTCTTCTCTTCTGAGGGGGCGGAAGCCGAGGCGCGCGACCTACAGCGCTGTCCCTGCCCCTGCTCCCGCCGTTCTTCGCCCTCCTCGTCCGATGATGAGGAGCTGGAGCTCGAGGAAGCGGTAGGGGAGGCGCGCGAGGGGGCGGAAATCAGGGGCGTGACCTAAGACACCGTCCCTGCCCCTGCTCCCGCCGTTCTTTGCCCTCCTCGTCCGATGATGAGGAGCTGGAGCTCGAGGAAGCGGTAGGGGAGGCGCGCGAGGGGGCGGAAGTCGAGGGGCGTGACCTAAGGCACCGTCCCTGCCCTTGCTCCCGCCGTTCTTCACCCTCGTCGTCCGATGACAAGGAGCTGGAGCTTGAGGGGGCGGTAGGGGAGGTTCGCGAGGGGGCGGAAGTCGAGGGGTGCGGACTAAGGCGCAATCCCTGCCCGTGCCCACGTCGCTGTTCCGGCGGAGAGGAGGCCTGTTGCGGCTGGAGCTGCTGCAGCTGCCTCTGCATGGGGAAAAAAGAGTGGTTCTTGCAAAATATGTCTTACCGAATTGACCTTACAGCACTGTCATTAGATTACCAGTTTAACATAACAGCCAACTTTTGGTTCACTCACCTTGGCATCCGCCAGAGCGCCCTGGAGGCGGTAGACCTCATTGGTAAGGTGCATGGCCCGGGTCCTGCAAGCAGGGTTGGCGCAGGTGTTTCCCTCGCCTGCCGCCGGGTCACCGTCCAGGTCTAGTGTGCTGACCATGGGAGGCTGGGTGTCAGTGGCCCTCAACTCCCTGAGGAGCTGCAAGGCCACCTTCCTCTTTAGGGCCAGCTTTACCTCCCGCTGCCTCCTCTGTGTCAGCTCCTTATGGTTGTCCAGGTGCTTCTCCACGTGAAGCAGTTGTGGGACACAGTTCAAAATAGGACAAGGGCCGGGAGGAATTAACGTCCTCCCCATCGCCAGCTTGTTCAAAATGTCCCTTTCCCGGAGGTTTTCCACCTTGTGGAACTCTTTCAGATGCTTGGATACAAGCAGGAGCTCCTTTTGGCACAGGGGGCAAATGCCCGCCTCATTAGGTTTCGTCGTGTCTAGAAGCATAGAGAAGATCTCTGTTGGGTATTTTATAATTGTGTCTTTTTGAGGCCTAAAAGATGCCCAATTTGTTTTATTAACACTTCATGAATCGCTGTGTTTGCCAACTGTGGCTGTTCATGAGATGTCCATGGAGATTAAATATTACCCAAATATTTAATTACCTAACAATCACGGTTCACACGTGTCTATTTAAAGACAGGCAATTCACAACTGGCTTTGTGTTCCCAAAGAATAAAGTATTCAAATAAATAGTGGCCAAGTCCCAAAATGAAGCAGAAGTGGCCCATTCTGCAGCATTCAGCCCGTTTTTAATTCAATTGGGTCCACTTTTGACACAAAGTGTGCCAAATCTCAGCGCAGGGTATACCCCAAATTACACGTTTCCCTCAGATAAAAATATGGAACAAATTTAAAAAAGGCAAAAAAACTCACCTGAAGCCGCTCGTTGGTTCAACAGAGTGGAAACGTGGTTTGTTATTGCTGCCTCAGCAACTGACGCTCTCCAACTTCCAACTGAAGCCTGTTCTGAGCACAGGGCCTTTGTGTGGGGGGGGGGGGGGGGGGGGGGGGGGTGGAAAGTGAATCTTTACTCAGCCAATCATAATCAGGAAAACGAAACTGCATGTGGGTTACTTTCTCGGTTGACCAAAATTCAGAAATATGTGAAATTGGGCTTTGTGCGACATAATTCTGGGTGCCATTTAAAAAACATAAGTGGTAGCGACTCCATCCCTTCTGTTGTAGATACAAACCATTAACTGGAGTATTTTAAAACAGACCTGAGCTCTCTAGGACATTCAGAATAAAAGTTATGAGCCTCCAAAGGTGTATCCGGACATGTGTCTTTGACACCACGCCCGGTGACCTTTGGGACATGATTCCCTTACGAATGTGCTATCATCATGAAACGTTCAGATCACTTACAACTCAATAGATTCTACCTTCCTGTGGTGTTTCAGCCTGATTGAAGCTTTTTTCAGAGAACTGGCCCCATAATAATGTGAAATTGTGCTTGGTGCAACATAGGTCGCATCGTGTTAAGCGTGGCCGGAGGGCAGTTTTCCTGCCGTTTTTGCCATGTGCTCGGCAAAGTGGCAATTCTCAACCGATTTTCACCAAACAAACATCGATTTGGCATGCCGCCGTCACCCCGAGCTAGCCCAGGCAGTTTGGTAGCCGTAGCTCTTTGTTTCTGTGCTTTTCTGAACCGTAGGTCACCAGAGGTCACGCACTTTTTTGGCCACAGCTCTTAAAGGGAACGCCCGATCCGTCCCATTTTTGGAGAGGTGGTCCCTGTGGTGCCAAGCAATCATAATCCACTGTCAAAATTTAAAAAAAAAAAAAAAAAAAAAAAAGGTCGCGTCTGAGTTTGGCCAAAAAATTCCCTCTGAGACGCAACGCCTGAAAGAGGGCTTGTGTTTTGCTGTTGAAAAGTGGGAAAAAAAAGTTCTGCTGGCGCCATCTTCGGATTTGTGTTTCGGGGGCCAAGCACGAGTCCACCTGAGGTGGTTCGGTGTTAAAATATTTTGTGATTCTGGAGATATAGCCCCCCAAAGCGCGCGATTTTTGCAGATTTGCAGTGGCGCAATTCTAGCGCCGTGAGGGCTATCAAAAAGGCGAGTAGATTTTTGCGCTCGTACCGGACTTCCGAACCAGAGAGTGAAATTTTTTTCCGACTGCGCCCCCTAGTGGTCGAACTTGGTCAGTGAGCGACGTAGCGTGACGCAGCTAAAATATTATGATTCAGCATGTCCTTCTTTACAACATATGTGAATTTCATGTCCCTACGTAGAACATAACTATTTTTAATTATTTAAAAGCAACCGGCAAAACCCTAGGCCCCAAACAAAGCCTTACCAAGATTTTAGCCCCTTTTCGGCCGCCGTTCGGCCATCGTTGATCCGAGGCGCCCGGAATTTTTTTTGGTGCATCCCAGCACTGGCCTGAACCACAGATTTCGAATTTGTGCCGGTCGCATCGTGCTAAGCGTCCGTTTGGAGCCGGAGGGCAGTTTTCCCTCCTTTTTCCCACCTTTTCTGCCATGTGCTCGGCAAAGTGGCATTTCTCAACCGATTTTCACCAAACAAACATCGATTTGGCACGCCGCCGTCACCCTGATCTAGCCCAGGCAGTTTGGTAGCCGTAGCTCGTTGTTCCGGTGCTGTTCTGGGTCAGAGGTCAGAAAAAATGATGGATTTCAGCTGAAAAACAGGGTTCTCTTCAACCTACAGACTGGAAACTTGTACTGTTTCTTTAAATCGCTGACAGCTACAACCTATTCAGTTTTCAAGTTGCTGGCTTATTCAGAAGGGTCAAACTTCACAGCCTCTTGGTACGTGCAGAGAAAATGATGGCTTTGGGCTGTTTTGGGGCTGAAAAACAGGGTTCTCTTCTTTTTTTTTTTTTTTTTTACCGTGTTCTGTCTGGCTGTGAAGCAAGCAGAATTGATGTCTGAATGCTGGTGACAAGCCTTACAGATTTATTCTCAGGTGGAGCATCAAAGCGTTTGCTTTTAATGTCACGCCTGATACTTAAAACTTTATTAGGCCCGAGCAGTGAAGCTGCGAAGGCCTATTGTATCTGCTCCGTTTATTATTTTTAGGCCCGAGCAGCGAAAGCGCTGCGAAGGCCTCTTGTTTTTGCTCTGTTTATTTTTATTTATTATTCTTAGCCCGCTTTGAATGGCTTTTTGGGGACCTTATCATACCCCAAAACTCACAATATTTTGCAACGATGTCAGGCCTAGTGAAAAATTTGATATTTTAATGGTCCCAAAAAAATTGCAAAGAAAATGGCTGAACAGCGCCCCCTAGAAAGTGAAAAAAACCCCTCTCCATAAAGCTTAGTTTTTTGTACAGTTATGAAATTTGGTACACGTGTAGTACTCACCAGTCCGCACAGAAAAGTCACTTGCAAGCATGGTCAATATCAAACAGGAAGTCGGCCATTTTGGGTTGAAATGGCGATTTTTAGCCGTTTTTGCCGTTTTTAGGGTCCGTTTCTGATTGGATTGCTCGATAATTTTTCGCACCATCATCTCAAAAATTGTGTCAAATTGCTCAGAAGGGATGGGCGAACAAAATGAGATGAGGATTCTGAGTTTTCGTATATGTTGAAGGGGCGGGGCCAGGCCTCAAAATTTGACTACTCGCCAAAAAAATTTAAATTGCTATTACTTCATAACTGAATGGAATAGAGTTACCAAACTTTCTGTGGTCATTCGTCATCCACCCACAAAGTAAATTGAATGGTTGGATGATGACATCACACAAGCCCCGCCCCCTCAGGACCAAAAAGATCAAGTTTTACTGTGAAAGGTCCCAAATTTCCCCATTTCACTTAATCACCACGAATTTGTAGCTGATAACTCAAGACAAGTGGGGGTTGCTTGGCGTCACTTTATGGGAGTTTTCGGCAGAGGGCGGGGCTGTGGCGGCGCGGCGAAGTCAGGCGTACCGCCGTGGCCTTACGTTTGCCTCCCATTTCGTCATTTCTAAAGATATCGTCACAAAACTTCTTGTGAGTGATCCTAGTCCGGCCCCCCAAAAGATCTGATGTGAACATCCGGTGGGCGTGGCCTATTTTCTGAAATAGCGCCCCCTAGGACGATTAAAACTGTCAGCCCCAAGCCATGCTTTGACTGAGGATTACGAAATTTGGTACACTAATGTGGTGTCTAAGGACCTACAAAAAAGTCTCTAGGAGCCAAGTGCAAAGTCGCACAGGAAGTCGGCCATTTTGGTCCAAGTGCGCGATTTAGTGGTTTTCACACACGTTGTTTGGAGAGTGATGCTCCGTCGCCCTTTTCACCAATCGCCTTCAAACTTATGCTATTTTCTCTTAAGACATAGAGGAAAAAATTCAACCGTCGGATTTTAAATAAGTATAAAGGTGTGGGCGTGGCTAAGCCTCAAACTTTGACCTTTCGCCACGCCACTCTTTTTTTCACAGCTCCCTATTGGACCCATTTTACCCAATCACCAGTAATCTCTGGTAAATAGCAGCAGACAAGTTGAGGTCACTTGGTCTCCAGTACTGGAAGGTTTTGAGAAAAGGCGGGGCTTTGGGAGCATGGCGAAATTCGCCATCACGCCATGGAAATACGTTTGCCTCTCATTTCGTCATTTATCGTGATATCACCTCGAAACTTGTTGTGAGTGATCCTAGTCTGACCCCCAATAGAAATGGATGGCTGAAGTTTGTGGGCGTGGCCTATTTTCTGAAATAACGCCCCCTATGACATTAAAACTGTCAGCCCCAAGCCATGCTTTGACTGAGGATTGCAAAATTTGGTACACTAATGTGGTGTCTCAGGACCTACAAAAAAGTCTCTGGGAGCCAAGTGCAAAGTCGCACAGGAAGTCGGCCATTTTGGTCCAAGTTCTCGATTTAGTGGTTTTCGCACACGTTGTTTGGACAATGACACCCCGTCGCCCTTTTCACCGATCACCTTCAAACTTCTGTTATATTTTCTTAAGACAAAGGCGAAAAAATTCAACCGTCGGATTTTAAATAAGTATAATGGTGTTGGCGTGGCTAAGCCTCAAACTTTGACCTTTCGCCATTACATTACTTGAATTAACAACTCCAATGTGCATGATCAGATCTATTTCAAACTTTGTCTGTGTGATCACTGACCACATCTCAAGACAACGACAATGTGGACAGCTGACATCACCTAAGCCCCGCCCCCTGACAACAGGAAGTATATTGTTTTATGGTGAAATACCCATATTTGTCCCCTCTAATTTAGTGAACATGACACTAAGGTCATCCACTGTCTTCATGATGTTGTAATGACCATTCAGATCTGAGAGCTTTCCAGAAAGGGAGGGGCTTTGATGCCATGGCGAATTCTGGCGTAACGCCGTAACCTTACAATTCAATTTAATGGTGAGCTCAGAGGGGATGCTGAGTCAGGGTGAGGTGCGGACTAGGAGGCCATTTGCGGATTCTGGCGTCGGGGCGGTTGACGATTCTGTTCTGCCAGACGTGCCCTGGTGCCCCGGGCTGCCGGCCAGGCCGGAGCGGCGCAGAGCTGCGAGGGCCGAACGACGCTGCTTGCAGCTTTAATTTTTTTTCTTTCTTTCTTTTTTTTTTCTTCCGCGTCTTTGGGTGGCCTTTAGGGGGTCTTAGCATATCCAAAAAGTCACCAAATTCTGGCCCAATATAGAAAGTGCGTGAAATTTACGTATTTCACTGGCAACCTGAAAGTTGGTAAAAAAATGTTTCAACAGCGCCCCCTGGAAAATTAAAAATACCCCTCCGCTTTGACCTTTTTTCATAGTAGAGTGATGAAATTTGGTACACTTGTAGAACTCAACAATACGCACAGAAAAGCCTCTTGCACCCATGGTCAATATCAAACAGGAAGTCGGCCATTTTGGACTAAAGTGGCCATTTTGACCCCGTTTTGGCCATTTCTAGGGTCTATATTTGGTTTAACAGTTTGGTCATTTTTCGCACGATCGTCTCAAAAATAGTGTGCGATCGAACAGAAGCGATGGACGATTAAAATGAGACAATAAAATTGACTT